CTAGTGGAGAAGATTTGATTTAAGAGTAGGAAAAATTATAAGAGAGAAATTAAAATTTGAAAATGTTTAAACCAGAAAATAACCCACGTGTAGTTATGATTTTCCAGAATTCCTATCTTTCCGTCTCAGTGAGTGGTCAGTGATCAACAGGCGTGAGTCCCATAAGCGTTTATTTTTTTTTTTTCCTGACAAAAAGAGAGTATCTTAGGAATTAATATAAATTTTAAAAATAACCACAAAACTTTTTTTTTCCCTTAAAATTTACCCTAACCACGGGGATGAGAATAAACTAGAAATTGTCTCAGGGGACAATTTAAGGGCAAGGATGAGAAATGAAACAAGCACGCGGTGAGGACCCAGGAAAACACACTGTCTCAAAGCCCGAAGTGGCGGGAGGGTATAAAGCTGCAGAACGAGGAGTCGGCAGAAGCCTCTGGAAGCGCACGGCTACGGAGCTGTGTATAGTTGTAAGAGGTGGGTCCTGCCAATGCTAGATGTGACGTGGAGAATGGAAAGGTAAGGGTCCTCCCTTCAAACAAACCTTAGCAATGGTCGTGGATCAGAGTCGAAGGCGGTGACGTGGACGTCGAGCGTTCGCACAGCTTCGGACCTTGTGGGCACTGCATCTGGACACGAGTTTCCATAATAGAAATAATAATAACAATAATAATAATAGTAGTAGTAGTAGTAGTAGTAATAGTAATAATAACTCGTTAATGCCTTGTATCAATCAATGTTTAATAAAACTTTGGAATTTCATAAACTCATCTGCTTTTCTCTCTTTTCTGAAAACTTTGTCAGCCTAGTAGCTGGCTTCAAATAGACCTTTCTTTGCAAGAATTTCGTGGAGAATGCAATGGTCGGCTCAGCCTCTTCAGAGAGAAATTTGACAGTATCCACGCAAATTAAAATGTGCGCCGTTTCAGACCAGCGAGCTCCAGCCCTGTGAACGTATTGGGAGAAACCCTGAGACATAGGAAAGAATTTTCCTTGTCGAACCAGTAGAGGGCAGTCTAAACAATGTGGCGATTCGTGGGAAAGAATACGATACAATCATTAAAAACTCTGGAAGATTTGGTACAGGCGGGTAGGTATGTAAAAATTAAACAAGCTGCCGAATACTGCTAGGGCGTGAGACCATTTATGTAAAAGTTGAAAGCACAATGCCTCCCTCGTTCTGGGATTCACGTAATGCAACGTAAAGTCAAAAACGTGGGCTAGCAAAACGAATCGAATCGATAACTGTGGCGAGTTTGGAGAGAGGAAGGAGACTGGTCCGAACGAAGGGATCTACAGTTTCACTTGTAAATGTTTCGCTGCTTTTCCTTTTTTTAAAAAAAGGCGAAACAAACATGACGAATCATCGCTAATCTGGAAAGCGGATACTCGTGTGTCTATTTTAGGATTTTCCATCCTTTATGTACATTTTTAAAGGTTTTCAAACTAAAAAACATTAGAAAGAACATAAATAGAAGTAAAGGAAGAAAGAAGGGAAGAAAGCTGCCTCTCAAGACCCGACTTTGTAAGTCTGAAGCTCAAACTGCGCAGGCCGCGGCGAACCTCCCGGGCTGCCCAAGGTCACGGGAACATGCCCACAGCAACGGGAATAAGCCGACCGACAAATGCATGTGAATAAGTTTGAAAATAATAACAGAAGCCTTTTTATTGATAATAATGAAAGGCTTCTGGAATCGTTGCTGGGGAGCCAGGGTCACGGAGGGTGGCTCGGGCCCCATGACGAAAGCATGGCTGTGCAGCGGACAGACCGCCCACAGGTCTGGGCCCTGACTGCAGACCCATCACGACAGAGCCTTCATTCTACTCGGGGACGTCTGGAGGCCCAGATTTTAAACCTAATCAGAGACTAAACGCATCTTTGTGGCAGCACTGCAGGTGTCTTTGGGGACACACGTTGGCTGATTTATTCTAAAATAGGATGTATTAATAGATTTTGTATTAATAGAAAAGAATAGAATTAATAGACTAATAGAATAAAATATACTGTATTAATAGACTAGTGTATTAATAGAATTCGAGGTACAGTAAGGTCAACAGATCAGGAGATGAAAGCCATCGAATAGGTCATTTGTTCCTCATAGTTCCCAAGAGGAGGGGACACACCGTGCTCCATGGGGCCACACAGGGAAGCCCCGGGCCGGGCAGGAGGCAGAGGGAGGGGATGTGGCGTGAGGCTTTCCTGTGGCTTCCACGAGAAGGGACAGGCGAGGCAAGGCATGCAGGCTCGGGGCTGGCTGCTGGGGAGAACTGCAGGGGACTCTGGTGGCTGTCCCTAGTTGTCTGGTTCCTGGCCTTGGAATGATCGGGGCTAGAAAATGGTGTCCCAGGCGTGACAGCTCAGTGAAGGAGGCGGTTTGGAGTGGCCGTGAATGGGGCTTTGTACTTAGAAGGCCTGCTCCAGGCTAGCCGTTTACTAAGTCCAGGAATTGGCCAGCCCTGGACGGCCCTTTGGGTCAGCCAGGCCCTGGATGGCAAAGCATCAGAATGTAACGTTCTCCTGAGACAGATAAAATCCTGAAAAAAAAAACAGGTCAGCCAGGCCCCGGATGGCAAAGCATCAGAATGTAACGTTCTCCTGAAATAGATAAAATCCTGGAAAAAAAAAAAAAAAGACAAAACAGGAAGACCTGATCATCACTAAGAAGGCGTCTGCCATCGTCCTCGGCACCTGCGTGTCCACGTGGAGCCAGCTTCCGGGATGTGGGTCGCCAGGCCTGTCACCACAGGAGGGCCATGGGTGCCTGTCCTGACGTGGGTGGCGGGCTCCTGGAAGGTCAAGTTCCGGCAGGCCCATCACGGCAGAGCCTTCGTTCCCCTACTCGGTCAAAGCCACCGGTTGGCCACGAGCACCCGCCAGGGCCATCGATGGCCCTGCACCGAGCAGGGGCGGGAGGATCGTCCGGGCAGAACCGCTCAGTTATCCCGGGGAGGAAACAGCATGGGGGACAGGCGGGTGACAGGCTGCGCCAGCAACCTGGACTCGTCACGCCCTCCCTGCGAGGAGCTTAGCCGTGATCACTCCCACGGGCGTGGCCGTGCCTGCCGCCAGGCCATCCTCTGTCCCTCCTCGGTCCCTCCTCGGTCCCTCCCGTGCGGGCTCTCCCTTCCCACACCTGCTGCTTTCCGCTGTCACCGCTGAGAGCGGTGCCTCGTCGTGAGTGACCACCAGCTGCACAGAGGTGCCACCGAGTCCATGTCCCCTGTGCGGGCCCAGGGAGGAGGCCTTCGTTTAGTTCCGTTGTACCTGTGTCTGCTGGAGCACAAACCCTAAACAAAGTCTAAGGTGAAGGGGGGGCGGCCGCACCCCAGCACACACGAGCACAGGATGCTGGGAGCCGCGGAAGTCTCCGCGTTGGGGGAGGTGGCGAGAGCATCTCCAGTTGGAACTCAGACGTGACACGAGGGTTCACACGCACGTGCGTCTGCTGTGGCCAGCGCTGCTGTCCCCAGCCTTCCTGCCGATGCTGCCACAGGGCGTTCCGTTTTTCTCGTGGATTACGTTTCTCTGAAGGTTGTCACTGTGGGAATAAAAAAAAAAGACCAACTTGTCTAATTTTATCGAATGTCTTCTTTTGGCCTTAAATGATGCCTTGATCCATCTATGACATACGGGTGAAATGAGCCTGCGCGTCGGCTTCCATCATTGCCGTGTTTGCTCGGGAAGGTGGAAATTGCTCTATGATGCGGGCAGAGTGAGGGTATAAAAGCCGGCGGTGCCTGTCCGGTTTCTCCTCCGTTTCACTGCCGTGGTGAACAGTCAGGGTCCGTGACGGATGAAGATACACAAAATGTCGCAATCCGTCAGGTGGAATATTACTCGGCCTTGAAAAAGAAAAGGCATTGTGGCGCCTGCTGCGACTTGGATGAGCCCTGAAGGCATTCTGCGGAGAGAAA